AAATCTTCCAATTTGGGAATAACGGCTATTTATGAAAGAATCTAAGTGTCGATTGGAAGGATTTCATTTTTAAACTATCTGCCTGGCCTCAAAGAATAATTCTTCCCTGGAGGAAATTTTCACTTCGAGATTAAAGAACGAAGAAAGAAAGAATTAAGGTTCAGAGAATCACTGAAGTGTAGGTAATGTTTTTGCAATTTTATTTTTTAAAATGTGGAGTTAGTGAATATACATGAAAGTACCTTGAAATGTTGTGGTTTAATATTAGAGCTATTCGGAATTAATCAAAGAGGAAACATACAATTTCTTGGGTAACTGACATGCCTATCTAGCCCTCGGTTTCATGTGCATCTCTCTTGTCAAAGGACCATAGACTTGAAGGAATTTAGCAAGAGCATTATTACACCTTTGGAAAGACAGTGAGTCCCAGTCCCGGTTATCCTATCTATTCATTTCCTCTTCCCTGRCAGTATGAGGATTATCCTACAGTGTTCACTTGTGATGCTGTCTGTCAAACTGCTAGTAAATSCCTTCGGATATCTTTTAAAAATTCAGCATGTGTTAAAATGCAAAGAAAAGGTATCAGTTTCAAGGGAATTAAAACCTCTGAACCAAAATTTGAGCTTTTTTTTTTTTTTTCTATTCGTCCATTACCTACTCCACCCAAGGCCCATAGGGTTTTCCTTGTCCTGTTCTCTGTGGGAACTTGCTACCAACTGAAGCACCCTGTTTGTTCCATAAGGAAAGAACCTTGTCACATAAGTACCATTTTTCCTATGATATTAAAGCGTAAAAGCCCAGGATTAAGAATAAAGCCCAAGGGACTGTGGCTYAGTGGTAGAGCACTTGCCTAGCATGTGTGAGACACTGGGTTCGATCCTCAGCACCACATAAAAATAAATAAATAAAAGTATTATGTCCATCTATAACTAAAAAGCTCCCCCCACCTTTTTTTTAAGAATAAAGCCCATCTTTCACAGCCAGTGTTCAGTTCAGATCCTTTAGCCAGCCTGTGCTAAGATGTTTGTTAGAGGTGCAAAAAGTCAGCAGGGCTACGGTTAAAAACAAAAACAACAACAAAAAAGGCACCCATCAAAGCCTTTGCTCTCTGAAGTGTCAGTTGTTTCCCATTCATTTCATTGTCTGAGTTTTAATGGAAAAAAAATAAAAATGTGCATGGARAATCCAGTACTGATAGTGAATTTTGATTGCTGTTTCCACTCCTCAGGAAAAAAATGCATCCGGCAAAATGCAGAGTCACGTAGTTCAAGCTACTGTCTGTCTGGTCATAAAAGAAAATGCTTCATATGCAGAAATTTCAAGTGAGAGGACATGTCAGGTCTCCAAATGCAGTTATTATCAAACAAAGCAGCCAGAAAATTAATGCCCTGGAGATGACTGTGACCATAATCCTGGATATCAGCCAGTGTCTTCATCTCTCTTGGTAGGACTGTGTTTTTGAACAGCTGATTAGACCCACAAAGCCCATCTAACTTCTTTGACATAAAATTTCTTCCCCTCTTTATAGAGGATTGTTTTAAGTTTCTGGCTACTGTTTTTATGAAACCTTGACATTTACTTACTATGAATGAGGACTTGAAAAACAATGATATATGAGAGTGTTCGGGATATTTTTGTTAGGTGTGAGGAGGAATGGGCCATTTAAAGACCCATGGGTTTGATTTTCCCCTCTACAACAAGGTCTCCCCTTCAGACACAGAACTACCCCAACCTCTCACCACAGCCTTTCAGAGTGGTTCTTTACGTTGGGCATCTAAGAGAGGGAATCTCTCCATCAGTGCAAATGGCTCCTTCACCCCTTTCCCAATCTGGATGCAGAAACTGAGCCATTCTGAAAAGGTGTGTGTGTGTGTGTATGTGTGTGAGTCTGTCTGTCTGTCTGTGTGTTTTCTCCAAACAAAGGACTGATTCAGTTCTAAACTCCAAATGATTAAAGAATTTGGCATTTTACATAATCCCACATTCTGGTTAATTGAAAATTGACATTTATAAATTATCAGATTATAAACAAATAGAACAAAGGCTCTCAAAACAGTAACTTCCTTTGTATTAATTCAGAAAATGAACAACCAAGAACTTAATAACAAAAATCATACACCTTTTTTGACAGCTGGTGTTTTGTTTATGTATATCATGACTGATAGTAATGGCGGTGATTCATCATTTTAGAAAAGTAATCAACAGTTCTAGTTGTACCAAATTAAAATTGATTGAGACCCAATAACACCCTGGCAGAAGCTAATAATCACATCATTATTAACTACATAGCTAGTCACCATAACTCCTTTTTTTTGGCTTAAGAAGATCCATAATATGAAGTATATATTATACTTTATATAAAGCTTCTTTTGGCTTAAGAAGATCTATACTATAAAGTCTAGTGTATATAAACTAATTAAAATCGATTAGAAAAAAATAATGTCCATGTACTTTTATAAATATGATCATTCTGCAGAGAAAACTACTCCCATGTTTWTGTACCATTGGTAGAACATCCCCTTTGAATGAGGCACCACCCTGGGTGCTCTGAATACTTGATACATCTTATCCTTGACGTATCTGTGAAAGCATGCTGGTACCAACCTCATATCATAGATGAGGAACTGAGCAGAGATGAAATGCCAGTCCAGGAACCCAGAGCCACAGCCAGGACTCAAATCCAGGGCTGTTTCAAASGGATGCCCAACACATCTGGTCTACTGAGTAGGCAACCAAACTAAGAAGTCTGTGGATGACACAGGAAACATCTTTCACAGATGTCTGTTCAAACATTGGAAGAAAATACACTCTTCTTAGAAATCATATTTTAGCTTTTATGATGAAGAGGTTTCTGAAGGATAAGAAAGASTAGTGGGTCTCAGAAAATGTTCCCCTTAGAGCCACAACTCTCAGCCCACAGAATGTTCCTGATAGCATTTCAGACACAGAGAAGAGTGAAGGACAGGATGAGTCATTAGCCACAATAAGTGTTCTTAAGGACAGTTCTGATGTCATTTATCACCACCTTCCAAGAATTATGGARTGGCCTTGTGGAGACAAGTGGCAGATATTGTCATTGAAGTCTGTGACAATAACGGTAAATGGCACCAAGAAAGATTTGTGTTAGACATTGTACAACCTCACGCTAATGTTCCCTCCWGCCAGAACAGCCAGGATGGGGCTATATGAGGTTGGGATGGTCACACCTGTGGTTGGATGGAGCTGAACTTTTCTGAATAAGCAGAAGTCCTATTACATGTCCTCAAATGGACTTTTTCCCCATGGGTGGCAAGAGWCAAGTAGTGGCCACCGACTCTGGAATGAACCAGCATTCTTGACTAGCCAGAGATCACATCTTGACAGCTGGGTCAGAGGGGTCAGAATGATAGCAGGACTCTCTCTCTGTTTTACAGCTGTAGGGAGCTTACAATACGGGCAGGAATGAGAAGGAGACCTTTTCTTATCCTTCCTCCCAAGTAGTCCCTGTACTGTCTGCCCTTTTGCAAAAGAAGCAACCTTGAACTAAGTTATATGGTTAATTGCTGTTTCCTCTCCTCTCCCATATCCCTGCATCTTCCTTTATGGGAGAAAGAATAAGCCATCTCATGGTTGCCTTGGCCGGTCCCAGGCCAGCTCCATAAGCAAAGACAGGCCTCAGCAGAGACAACCTCCCTGGCATCTCCCAAGCTTCAGAAAGAGGACAGAATGTACAACATGGTCAGTCAAATCTCCCTTCATGGAGAGGGTCCTGTCATCATGGAGAGAAATTAGCAAGGATCAGAGTTCCTCATTTCTGCYCCCCACCCTGACCTGAGCCCTGGGCCTAGGGGAGCTTTATAGATCCCCCACATTTGAGTGACAGAGCATGAGCTTATAGTCATTTTGATTGCTGTCACATTCTGTATTGTCACATTCTGTACCTAACTCTGAAATTGTCAATAAATAAAAATCTGGTGCTGCCTTTGCTATTGTGATCTACCCTCATGAATGCTCTACCACCAAAATATATGATGACTTTAGTGGCAAATTTGAACACTAACTGCAAATTTAATGATATTAAGGAAGTATTCACTTTTTATTTAGATGTGAGAATGGTATTGTGATAATGTTAGGTTTTTTCTAAAAGCGCTTAGATTTTTAGATCTAACATAATAAATATCTGCATATTAAATGATATGATGTCAGACTTACTTCAAATTTAGGATTAGTTTAAATCAATATTAGTCGTATTTTCCAAAGATACTTAAAATATGTGCAACTTTATGATTTAATTTTCAATGGAATAAGATCCAAAATTGTAATACAGTAGTGCATATATACATACATTTTATATATATATGTACATATGTATATGTGAATGGAAGAAGAAATGTAAATTATGGTTATCCCTGGCCAGTGAGAATACATGTTTGTTTTATTATTCATTGTTACTTTTTCGAATTTTTCAAATTTGCTGGAAGGACAATTTTCTATGTTTATAATTWTATAAAACTATTTTTATMTATAAGTGATGCTCATGAYATTGTTATATGGAAAAGTTACAGAATATGATATAGAACCCTAATCATTGTTAAATGTGCGCACATGGATGTGTGTCTATATATGTTTAAAATAAGCAGCATCGAATTATGAATCATGATTATCTAAGGATGATGGTGTTGTTGGTCATTTTTGTGTTTTCTTTGCTTATGTGTGTGCTTCTACAATTAATAAGTTAAATTATAATCAGAAAAATGTGACATTAAAAATYAATGCTAGATTTATTATATCCTTTGTAAGTAAAAGACTATACAAGGCATGACAACATACACGGAACTGTATAATATGTATGTATTCATAAAACAGGTTAAGTCCAAAGCAAATCTAAATTCTCATTTGTATGTTAAGGTTTCAACAAGGTTGGTATAAAGTCCCTTGAAGAGCCACTTTATGTGGCAATGTTCTTGCCTCTGTGCACTGGGTTCCTTAGTGATCCCGTTTCATTTTCTGTCCTGCTCCAGGTATATCCATGCCAATACCAGTCTTTGGGCTGCAGGATGACTCCAAGGTCTTTAAGCAGGGGAGCTGCTTACTCGCTGAYGACAACTTTGTCCTGATCGGCTCTTTTGTGTCCTTTTTCATCCCCTTAACCATCATGGTGATCACCTACTTTCTAACGATCAAGTCACTCCAGAAAGAAGCTACTTTGTGCGTGAGCGAGCCGGGTACACGGTCCAAACTCTCTTCTTTCAGCTTCCTCCCCCAGAGCTCCCTGTCTTCGGAAAAGCTCTTCCAGCGATCCATCCACCGGGAGCCAGGGTCCTTCGCGGGCAGGAGGACGATGCAGTCCATCAGCAACGAGCAGAAAGCGTGCAAGGTGCTGGGCATCGTCTTCTTCCTGTTCGTGGTGATGTGGTGCCCTTTCTTCATCACGAACATCATGGCTGTCATCTGCAAGGAGTCGTGCAACGAGGACGTCATCGGAGCCCTGCTCAACGTGTTCGTCTGGATCGGTTACCTCTCCTCGGCCGTCAACCCGCTGGTCTACACGCTCTTCAACAAGACCTACAGGTCGGCGTTTTCGCGCTACATTCAGTGTCAGTACAAGGAGAACAAAAAACCRCTGCAGTTGATTTTAGTGAACACTATTCCGGCCTTGGCTTACAAGTCTAGTCAGCTCCAAATGGGACAAAAGAAGGATTCCAAGAGAGATGCCCAGGCGACAGAGAATGACTGCTCCATGGTTGCTCTAGGACAAGAACCTCCTCCGGAAGATGCTGGCACAGACAGTGTGGACACGGTGAACGAAAAGGTTAGCTGCGTGTGATACGCTGGTTGCCATGGCAACCCTGGAGGGCACAGCAAACAAGTTTTCACCTCTCTGGAGAAACAAAAAGTAAGGGAGGCTGGAAAAAAAAAAAAAATAGGTCGCTCTAGTGGAACCGATAGTAACCATAGGGCCCTTAGTTGTATTCTGTCAATGAAAAGCAGGGTTCCTTGCCACAAGATGTGCACTTGAAACATGTTCTGACAGCATTTCAGCTGTGAGCTTGATGATCCTTTCAATGTTATAAATGATGTCTTTAAATAAGCTTTTATTGTACAATTATAATGAGGTCCTAAATAAATCAAGATTAACTTCTCTTACTGAATGGAAACCTTGCCACTAATGGGATCCAGTTGGTTACCTACTGCTGTAAATAAAAATAGCTATAAATAGTGAAAGTTTTGTTGACTATAATGGCCTCTTCAATAAAGAAAAATATATATAAAACTTACCATGACATACATTTTGAAAGGAAAACAAAAAGACACSACAGTGTTGTGAAGTCTGTACTGCTAAGATAATTAAATGAAATMCTTGACAACATTTTTTCATTCCTGCTTTCTCATAGATGCCATTGTGAAGTAGTCACAAGATTGCTGGCATTTGCTGCATTCCAAGTTCATTCTTCTCAGAAGCGAAAAGATTTTAAGTGTTACTGAATACCAATTGCTGCTTTCTCTTCTACTTCTTGTTCTGTAATCTGAATTTCCAGTGTGGTCTTGTTTAGTATTTGTTCTTCTGTATTAGTATTTGATAGGTAAGCTATCAAAAGGATAATTTCACATTACCAAAAACATTCTAGAAGTTGCTTCTTTAAAACCGTACCACACAGGTATCTGGTAACTCGCTGTGAAATGACTGCGTCATGCATGCGCACTTTGGGGCAGCAAACAGAATATTGATGTAATGGTGTCAGGGTTGTGTATAAATTTTAGGTTTCTGGTTGTTAACAGTAGGAGGGTCTTAGGACAAATATGTGAAAAGCTGGTGATTTTCCTCTTGGCACTTATCAGGTAAATTGATGCTTTCAGATGAATCAATTTACACTATTTATTAAAACTGCTCAGCTTGGTTCTACAATCATCTATTGAGTGTATTCTCATGGGTGGGGGCAATTTTCTAGATACTAGGGACATAAAAATCATTAAAACAAAATCCTTCCCTTAAGCAAATGACTAAACTGAAATGGCCCTTGTTAAAAAATATCAAACTCATTCTGAGAATTAGTTCAATTTATTTCCTCTTTATCTGGTTCAGGAACAGGTTTGTTACAACTGTGAGGGTGGTTTTCTCAGTAAGTTTTTCTGATTGGTTACCAATAAATGTCAAGCAAACAAAGAAGGGGGTGTATATCAGCTGAGATCAAACGCTGTAATTAATATAGAAAGGTACACCTCAATCTGGACTTAATTTATGACTACCAAAGTATTGAGCAGAATTTTTGTCCTRTCTCTCTAAAATCACAATTATCTTACTGTTATTGACACTGGAGTCTCTAGTGAAAATCAGACAAATATAATATTTGGTAGAAATKATTTAAAGAGAGAAAAAAGATTAACTATAGTTAATCCAGCTTCATACTGTAATGCTTTAACTTAAACTGCACATGATTATTGGAATAGAGGTTGGATTTATGATCACACTGATGAAGCATTTCTATTGAATATTAAGTAGCTTTTGCCCTAAGTCTTTGGAAAAAAATACAGATTTKAAAATTAATGTAGAAAATATTGTTATATAATTTGGAAATGCACTAGGGCTGTCCTTCCAGATATGTTGAAAGATAGTTCACTATTTTAATGCTAGCATTTATAATATGCCACTAGTACCACGGCTGCATTTGAACCAGACTACTTCTTAATGATCATATGATACCAACTGATGAAAATATAGTCTGTGCTCTAATGTATTTTGCCTTAGTTTATAACTCTGCTCATTTCATTATATAGTAAAGATTACAGATTTCCCCATGTATTCARTCTTGATCAGAATGAACATACTGCCTGACAGATATCTTCTGACTGCATATATAGTATAAATGTGTATGTTTTTCCTGCAAAAATATCTATTTAAGTGTACATAGACACATATATAACTGTATATATGTACAGACATGTTCCCATGCACTTTATTCAATATTTATATATTTATATGGAGGAAAAGAAAATCAACGAAAAAACTCATTATGTACACATGTTTGCATGTTTGTGTCATGTYGATTTAAATGTAAAATCATGTTCTAATATTCCTATGACCTTCCATTGCTATCAGAGGAAGCTAAAGCATAATAGAAGCATAGCCCTTTAAATTAACTGGAAGTTGCTCTACTTTTGAGGAAATACTTTAGCACGATTCTATGAGGGTGGTGAAAAGAATAGTCTATGTACATAGTTTATTGGTTTTCAATTAAATGGTAACTTTGGGTCCTTTGTTCAGTCTGGGGACTTCCTGACTACTATGGCTTTTTATATATACTTCACCCCAATGAAACAGTCCTCAAACAATTTATGGGTCAGTGATGAAAGGGTTCTCTCCTAGCCATTATTATTAAAACAGAGTAACAAACCTTTATTTTCTTTAAGTTGAATGATWAATTCTTCTACACTCAAAAGAAAGGAATTAAACGCAGTAGTTAGAAAAAAACTTGATTTAATGAATACATAATCTACTTGGCCACAGCGCCATCTCATGGTCATTTCTTGAAGTGCTACTGTAGACAAATTGAACTGTTCCCATACTGCTTTTAGGAAAGGGTGCTTCTCTCATTTGTGYATCAATGGAACATATTTATAAAGTGTTAAATTATTCTGTGCCATATGTAACAAATACAGTGAAGATTATTTTATGTACTGGTTTTAATTAAGGTGATTCTAAACAATTTCAAGAATGAATAATTGTAAATAAAGTATACTCAAAAAGGAATGCAATTTTGTGTGTGTCCATAGCAGTGTCTACTAAAGGAAATTACCCCAAACCTTCTATGTCATCTGGCCGAGAATTTCAAGTCACTTCCTGATTTTTTTTTTTAGAATAAAATAACCTGTGTTTCTGGAACTCAGCCATGTCAAAGAACGAGGACCCACCTGGTTAGATTAGCTTTATGGTCACATTTCAGTTTCTAATGATCTACAGAAAACAAATGCTTCTGTTTGATCAACAGTCTGGTTCCACACAGCCCAACAACATGGAGGACCACTGGTGTGCCCCAAGGCCACACAGGTATACCTTGCACAAGTACATTACCACGCACATACACATTCATACATTCTTTCTCTCTCTCATGGAAATGAAACTAAAGAGATATAGTATCATTAGACCAAAAAAAAAAGGTAAAATTAAACTATTTCACCTTTAAGTGTAGGAAAAGCATGTGAAATATTTTTTCCAGCTGGACATAACTCCATATGTTGAGTACCTACCATACACCAGGCAATGAGCTAATTGCTTCACTTGCTTCACTTGCTTTACTCTTCACAACAATCCTACAAGGTACGATTATTCCCTTTTTTTCACAGATGAGAAAAACTGACATTGGAAGTAGTTAGTAACATGTCCAAAGTCACATGATTAACAATAAAATTAGCAAGCTCAAGCCTGTGTCATCTGACTCCAACATATGAATTTTTTTCCCAACCTCATCTGGTACAGGGGAAAAGCACTTTTTYGAATTAAATTATGCAAGTTGCTATCCTAGCTTCCCCACTCACTGGTTGAGTTTAGGCCATCATTTGACATTCCTGTACCTCAATCACATCATCTGTAGAATAGAGCTGCTAGTGTTTGACAACCTGTAAAAGAGTATGTGAATATTACAAATGGGTTGTTATTATAAAGAAAAGAACACCAAAGCCTCCATTAAGTATTAACCATCAGTCTGAATTTGAGACAAAATTGTGGAATAGACAATATTATTATTCAGTCAYTTATTCTATCCTATAAATGCTTCACCTTTTTGGAAAACTTTCTATTTCTACTTTGCCCTCACCATGATGCAGAGATCCCTTCATTGAACTCTTTTATTGCGTCTATCAACATCTGCTCATCCTATATCTTGTTTCTCAGGCCTCTACTCTCTGCTAGAGTACTAATAAGTAATTAAGCTGACAAACCACATGTATCATTGACATCTCTCCAACCATCTGCTGTGGTCTTAATCCTAAAAGCAGAAACCAGAAGCAAACAGTTTAGGTGCCACAGAGACAAGTGAGAAAGAAAGCTAGGGACAAGAAATGTTTCCTATGATCTGACAAATGACCATCAGAAAAACAATTACCTTCAGATAGATATTCCCTAACTTACACAGTTTTATACGTAAACTTTGAGTCTTAATCAACAATAATGACTAAAAGAAACATTTGTAATTTTTGAGATTTCAGATGGGCTGGGAATGTAGCACAGTAGTAGAGCACTTGTTTAGCATTCAAATAAACCCTGGGTTCARTTCCCCAGWATTGAAAAGAAAATTTGTCTCAACTGGAAACAGTAATAATATTACTAAGCTTTTTCTCAGGTTTTCTGATCAATAGATATTTGTTCCAGTAAGTGCAATAAGACAAAACTTCTTGGTTAATTTCTAATTATTTGCATGTGGCTTGCAAAAAGCAAATGGTTTCCTTCCCCTTGCCCTTAATAGTGTAACACCAATCTTAACTTCCCTTTTGATATTTGACATCAGTATGTCTACATGAGACATTACAGTACCAGAAGTCTTCCTACTCAGTTGGAGCCTCTGAGACAGGAAACCTAGGTCCAAGCTACTACTGTACTTTGACCCTGGACAAGTCATAGTTTCTCTCTCCTCAAGTGTATAATAGAAGACTTATAGACAATGATCTCAGCAGGAGTCTATTCCAGGTCTAGGTTTATATAAATACTGAAGGGTCCATCCAGACTTTGATGAACCTACACACAGTTTCATATACAAAAACTATTCTGAAATTCACAACTCTCACATTTTCTGGTTGGATTTCAAATAAATGATAATTTGAACTTTCACAGATAAGTCAAATTATCAATGATCTAAGGGCTTCYAAGATATGAGACCAAGAGTCAGATATCAACATAAATGATTTCTACCATGGAACTTTCTCACAGTTGGCCTCTCCTTGGCAATTTCATAGCTACCATAAGATATTGAGTTGCTCTTTTAAATAGCCCCCCACCTTCCTGAAGAATAATTGCTCCCTCTATTTGAGATAAAAAATTCCTTAAGGGGTTAACATTGAAAATCCTGTATAGATTTAGAACTCTGTGATTCAGAGAACTTTTTAAAACCTAGATTTTTTTTATTGAAAGTGAGCCAAGGTTATTTAAGTTTTTATTTATAATTAAGATTATGAGAT